TCAAAACGTGTAGAAAAACATAAAAGAACTAACCTTAATTGCAGCATCCGAGTTCCTGCACTTTCCACAGGTGGATATCAAAAAGTTGTATAAATTAACCTGCATTGACAAGTTCGATTTGCCATCATCGTCTTTGAGACCTTGGCCTATAAAAATACCTAGAATGCAACTCTATACCAAGAATGATCCATGGAAGCTTAGATGAAATTATATGAAATGTTATCAACCTAACAACAACCCTTTAAAATTCTCTATGCTGATTTTTTGGGAGACTAAACTCCTGGCATGATGAGGGTTTGCCAAAGAACTTTGTAAACTATCTTACATATATGAGAATACACACTATTGGTTATGTAGATTAAGCTCATGACATGTGATAAATCATAAATGATAACTCTTCAACTTCTGAAAGAAAAATTGAAAGAATGATAAAAACAAGTAGAGTTGTTATAGTTAGATGGCACTCATATATGATGGATGATGGAAGTTAAAAAGCTTAATAGACACATAGTTCCACCGCCATGAACTTGAAAAGCTTGAAAAGAAAAGGAAAGAAAGAATTTCAATACTTTTATCTTATTTTTGTCCATTAGTTCTTATCTTTGCATCCAAAACAGACTAAGTGGACACTCAAAGTTCAGGTTCTCAAAATCATACTGAAAATGTATCACATGTGGAACAATGCAAACAAAAGTGCAGCTCAGGAAAACAATTTGCTTGATCATTACGTCCAAAATAAATTTGCAAAAAAATTCTGTTAAAAGTATTTTTTTTTCTACACACAAGGGAGTCAGAAGTTAGTAGGCAAAAACAGAAAATTTATGCATAAAATATCTTCTTTTCTTAGTTTCTTGATAAAACAACTATAAATATAAATGATATAATTACATAGGAAACTTTCTAAAAGCTCTTCACCATGATGCTCTGCAAACATTATTTGATGTTGTTCTGCTCAGAGAATTTGAAGGAACCATTAGTAAAATCTAATTGTATTGAGTACAAGAACCCAAATCTCTAATACATCCAAATGGGCTCTCCATTTAAACAATTTGAGACCATAGATCCAACCCAATTTCCACTTGGCACCGCCTTAGGCTATCTTTGCATTAGTCTATGTTACAGAAGGCGCTAGGCGGACTAGGTATCTGAGTCAGCACCTAGTGCCTAAACGCCTAGGTGTACGCCTAGGCGTACGCCTATTTTTTTAATTATATAATTATAATAATTGATAAAAATATGTCTTTAATTCATATAAATTTATAAAGAAAAGATAGCAATCCTAGATTCACAATAAACTATGCATACTTAACTACTAAATAGCCAAAATAATAACTAACAATGTTATAGAAAGCAATAGGAGGCCTAGGCATTGGACCTAACGCCTAGAACGTAGGAGGTTTTCTTTTTATTTTTTAATTATAATAATTGATAGTAAATGTCAATGTTATAGAAAGCTTAGGTGTCGGATTTGTGTCTAGGCGAATTTTGTCTCCATTTAAGTAGTGTTTGAAGAGGTTTTGCTAAAGGTTGAAGGAGGTAGTTGAGATATTCATATTTGAAAGTTAAAGGAGTTTGAAAGAGGTTGGAGGATGTGGAGGTTGTAATACAAAAAATCACGATAAAGGCCTAAAAGATGCAATCTACTTAAACAGACAATACTCCCCTAAATACTCTCAAAATCTAGGTGGACAGCCTAGGTACCGTCCAGACGCTAGGCGCTAGTTAGGCGGCCTAGATACTGCCTAAATGTACGCCTAGGCGGAGGGTTTTTAAAATAGTAAGTCTAGTTCCAACCAAAACTGCAATATCATCCTTTTGGCTTTACACTGTATTATTTACGAATGAACAATGTAACACAGGCATCATCACCGGCATCACTTGCTTGCAATTGGGAAGAGGGAGGAAACCAATATCATTACTTAGCAACTTAGGAGAACTTAAGCTAAGAACTAGTTGGAGAAAAGACTCCTAGTCTAATAGACCAACATCCTCCCCATCTACTCCATGCAAACTAGATGGATCCAAACAATTTTCTTTCTCACCACTACAAAATAAAAGTCAATTGCCAATTATTGGCAAATTTGATTTATTCTTATGACTTCTCACAAGAGTTTACACCTGCACAAGATTATGTATCTTCTCACCTATTTCTATACACCTAAATTATAATTGTTTCTAAAAAATAACAATATCTAAAATGTTTAACTCATGGAAACAACAAGTAAAATAAAGCCTTTATCCCAAATTTTAAGATCGTACGTGAATCTTATTATTTCATTTAATCCTGTTAAGGGTTATTTCCTCCATTACACTCACCATTGTCATACCTTCTTAATTGTTTACCAAGTTCTCTCAGGCTACTCTTTGCAAGTGGGTGATAATACAAGGGTCTGTTGGCAATTAACTCATTCCTTTATTATATCCAGCTATTAGAGTTTAGATCCAACATATGTAAATATGGAGGAATTTCCTTCCCCTATTAGGAAGAGAATATTCCATCTCTCTCTCTCTATATATATATATATATATATATATATATATATATAGGGAACAATGGTTTGTCCCCTGATGATTTGGAGAAGCTCCCTTGTTATGATTTCGACGGCGAAGAAAAAGATTGTGCAGTTTGCTTGGAGAGCTTTAGAAATGGGGAGAAATGCATGTTACTGCCAATGTGCAGGCATAGTTTTCATGCTCAGTGTGTTGATTATTGGCTCATGAAGACACCGACTTTGGTGGTCATTTGTTGATGGAGGTTGGATTTGAGAGGAGATTGTTGTTGATGATGATCATGATGACATCGATTTGTTGAAGAGGAGGAGGAGGAGGGGGGAGGTTGAAGAGGATGTGGAGGAGGAGGAGGGGGAGGTTGAAGAGGATGTGGAGGAGGAGGAAGAGGATGAGGAGGAGGAGGGAAAGGGGGAGATTGAAGAGGTAGAGGAGGAGGAGGGAGAGGGGGGGTTAGGAGCAGGATGTGTTTTGATGAGAGGGTTTTATGCAATAAATCACGTCAGCACTGGCCGAAAAAATGACCCCGACCAAATTTAAGGGCTATATGGCGTTGGAGGCTACATAATATATCAATTTGACAAAAGTTAAAATTTTTATACCATTCTGTCACCTAGGGTCTACAAAATATAGCAATCTGGCCATTTTTCCCTTTTAAATCTCATGCACTTGAGCAGTGCTAAAATGGCCTTTTGTTAATGCGCCTCAACGTCTACACATGACCAATATGATTCTTTAAAGATAACTTATGAATATTATATATATATATATATATGGGAAAAGTGTTCCTAAGCTGACACCTTAGATTCTATCTAAGGAAGCATCTTCAAAACTATATTCTACGCAATCAATTTATTTGATCTACTCTATTCATTTTGGTTTATATGTTTTTGATTCTATATAAATAAAAAATTATGAATATTAGATTATAGTTATTTATGCATTAAGTGATTTTAAAATTAACGATTTTACGAAAATACAACTAAACAGAATAAAAAATATGTGATAAAAGTATTAAAACATCACGATTTTTGTTTTATAGATGTTTTTGAGACATTTAGATCATGATGAATGTAGCGAATCATCCATTGGAATAGTCTAATCTATGCATCAAGAAGTGATTCCTTAGATTGAATCTAAATTATCACTTGAGGAACACTTTCCCTATATATATATATATATATGGTTAATTTTTCATCTCTTAAAATATGACCCGAAACACATTAAAATCCTTTGAAATTTTGTTTCTAAGTAGTTCATGTATAATAGATCGTAACCACTAGTTTGAATTTATATTTTTTGGTTCTAAATTTCAAAATTTGGTTGGCAGTATTTGCATGTTGAATACTGTTAGTAGTAGTCTACCTCAACTCTCACTCTGACAAAGTATGTATGTGCGTATAGAATAATGGATATGCTTAGTACCAAGCACCAAAATTTGTGCTTGGTAGTAAGGTGATCACTCCTCATCCACTCATTCGATTATCCAACTCATATGCACCCTTGTGAATGTAGTCCCCTCTTTAAATGGATAAGAAGTGGTGAACTAACTATAAGCACCAAATTGATTATCCAACCTATTACTTATGTGTACCTATGTAAATGTGGTCCCCTCCTTAAACAAGTGGATGAGAAGTGGCCAAGTCGCTACCAAGCACCAAATTTAATAATTGGTAGTAAGGTGATCACTTCTCATCCACTCATTCAACTTTTCAACTCATGTGTACACATGTGAATGTCGGCCCTCTTTTAAATAAGAGGATAAAAATGAGCCACATCACTACCAAGCACTAATTTTGTGCTTGGACAAATTTCAAAATAGACTTTATTAGAACTTTATTTGTAAAAATCGACCTCTTTGAGATTTAATTACCATTTTCGACCAAGTTTCAGCCACTTGGCTGAAGCTAAGTCGAAAATGGTAAATAAATCTTGAAAACTTCACAAGATTCTAAATCCCGTGAAGTTTAGTCGCTAAATTACTCAGCCTAATCACGATTAGGTTGGGTGATTAGATACTAAACTTCACGGGATTTAGAATCTCGTGAAGTTTTATTCACTATTTTCGACTCAGTTTCAGCCAGTTGGCTAAAACCAGGTCGAAATGGTGAATAAATTACAAATGTGTCGATTTTACAAAAAAAGTTCTAATAGGGCTTATTTTGAAAAAAAATTCCTTTGTGCTTAGTACCAAACATACCCATTATTACCATATGTACGTATAAACACGCACGCACACATATATATATAAAGATCTCTTATTTATTGCCCAAAAAAAAAGAAACAACAATCACAACTACAAAAAAAGATTATATAAAAGAAAAGAGTAGAACTTTACATCAGGGGGCAATCCATTAGCTTTCATCTCATCCCTAAAGAAGAAGGCATCCTGCAACCTGCTCCCCTTCATCGTCCCAACAATAAGCGAATGAAACGTGTCCCTCAGCGGTTGAACCCCATCCAGCATCATATCATCATACACATCTCTCAGCAAGAAATTCCTAAATAATAAACCCTTCAAAATTTACAAATCACCAACAGAATCAACCAGAAAAAAAGGATCTTTTTACTCAAATGTAGCTATTTGTTAATTTACCCTCCAATCCTGCCTCATCCAGCTAAAATATCCCAAATTCTTCCCCAAAATGGGTATCTTACCTCAATGCTGTACATTTGGGGGGTGAATTTGCAAATAGGATAGATTTGAGGGGTACATAGGCAAAAAAAACAAAAAAGGAAGAAGAGATATTTGGGGATTTGCTCGCCTTCGCTGGGAGATTAGGGATCCGATGACGGTGTTGTACTCGGTGACGTTGTTGGCGTAATTTCTCTTGTTGTACTCAGCGGAATCGATCGAGAATGAGCGGAGCTGGGAGAGTTGAGTCAGTGAACGGCGGCGGAGGGCTGCTTCGAAATGGGTAAGGTTAGCGTCTGAACTGTGGTGTGTCTCACGAACCCCCGAAACTTTAACTTATCTTATCTACCCCCCCCGCACCCCCCCCCCCCCCCGCCCTACTTATAGTTTATAAATAACTAAAATCTCTTTGAGTGAAAATTTTTTAAAACTTTATCACCCGTCATTTACCGGACAACATACTCATTTACCTAAAATTTGATTTCGCCCCCGCCCCTCTCTTTTGAGAAAATTTAGTATTTGAGAATTATATGCAGGTGGGTTTGGTGAGAGAAGCTAAATTTTGGAGGGTTTTGGCAAGACACCCATAGTTGAGGAGCAACACGGTGAATAAATAAAGTATGTACAGTCGTTTATTGGATCTAACTTCAAAATTAACCCAATAAACTTCTTACCCTCCCCGAGAAAACCTATCGGATCTAACTTAACGGCCTACGGACCGCGCACCAAAAAATCCACATCGGTTTATTGATCCCGATCTTCACTCCTCGTTCAAAAACGCCTCGAAAGCCGCTAAACCCTCTCCCCCCTCTCTCTCTCTCATCGGCAGCCATGAACTTCCTCCGCCGAATCTCAGGTAGCTCAGCAGC